TGACGGCGGCGGCGGCTACGTTTGGTGACGATGACGGTGGCGGCGGCATTTGGTAACGATGGCGGCGGCGGCGAGGCTGATGACGAGTGACAGTTTTTTTTCTTCTTTTTTTTTGGCTGGGTAGGTTTTGTGAAAATTTGACATGTTTAGAGGGCTATTTTGCAATTTGTACACTTTAATATATCTCTATTTTTATTGATGTATGGCACTTTAAAATTAAATGAAGATTAGTTTATGCATTAATGACATATGTATGTGTGCACTTTAAAAAGGAATAACATGGATTTTAAAAAAATTATGTCATATGTAGACAAAATTATTAAAAGAAATTTATAAATACGCCATTCTTTTTAACAATAAGTGAATTGCACAAAATCGTGATAAAGTGCAATATATTATTTTGCAAAGTGCAATGTATTAGTTTATAAAGTGCAACATGTTGGCGTTTAAATCGAACTATTTTTTATAATCGTGATGAAGTGCAACATATTATTTTGTAAAGTGCAACGTATTAGTTTATAAAGTGCAACATGTTGGCGTTTAAATCGAACTATTTTTGTACGTTGGCATACTCTTGTTTTGTGTGGATAAATAATATGATTGATATCAAAGTAGTATGTATATCCGTTTTTCAAAATACAGTAGATAATCGACCAAAATATAAAATTAGAATAAATGATTTTAGTATAGACGATTTTTTGGTCGCTAAAGTGCGTTCTGACAGTCACTATTGTGCAGTACATCAAACACTGATGTGCAATCCAAGTGCATGTATAAAAAAAATATTTAAAAATATATTATTATTTATTTTATAATAATTATTATTACATTATTTATCTAAATAACATAGTTGAAATAATTATTATTTATATTATATAAATATTTATTATTACCTTATTTATCTAAATAATATAATTGAAATAATTGTTATTTATATTATAGAATTATATTTATTATCTTAACATTTTTATTTAATTTTTATTTATAAAAAAATATATACAAAATAATGTTTTTTATAACTCTTATAAATTACAAATTTGGCACATGGGCTAAATTGTAATATGACCAAAATTGTTAAAATTGCTACTTAGTCCCTAAAAACAATTTAATTTCCAAATACATGACCCACATCTTTCCGGCGGAAGCCTTAATCACGGTTTGCCCCCGACGCCGGCGACTGACGTCCGCACAAACATGGCTCTAGTTTGCCATGGCCGGTTAGTCCTCTCATCTCCTCCTCTCCTGTAATGCCCCGACTATTATTATATTATTAAGATGATTTTCACTGCTCGACTTTTAAGTGAAAATTCATAAATTAAGAAGTTCAAGACTCAAGTAATAAGCTAAGCGCTCAAAAATATAGTAAGTTCATTTTAAGTATTCGAATATTGTTATTCGAATGGTTCGTTCTCCGAACACTAGTCAACGAGCCTTGGAACATGTCGAGTCCTAATAGCATAATACTTAGAATTGTTCTAAGTAATATGAAGTGCTAATTCAAGTCCTAGACCTCGTTCAAAAATCGAGAAGTTAACCGAGCCACTCGAGCCGCGATCCCGCCCAAGGCCCCGGGTCGAGGTCTGAGACCAAGCCTAAATCCTAACCAACACTTGTTATATTTTTCTAAGTCATAAGAACGCAAGAAAAGTTGTAAAAATCGGTTCGAGCCATATTCACGCGCCGGCACGCGCCCAAGCCGCGCAGCAGGCCTGCCCCGCGCCCAGCTCGCGCCAGCCTAGCCCAACAGGCCTCCCCAGCGTCCCAGCAGCAGGGCCGCGCCCAGGGACAGCGCTCAGGCCCAGCGCCAGCAGCGGCAGTCCAGCTCCCAAGGCCCAAAACACCATTTTTCGGCCCACTTGTCTCGAGCCCAAATTTGTGTGATTGTAACCCACTTGCTAAGGTTTAATTTCAGCCCAATTGGCCCTGGAAAAGTCGTGGTCAAAGTCAATGGCTCTAGTCCAAAGTTAGTGGAGGGGGACATGAATATTATATTACCTAGGGTACCTAAATGTCCCCCATTACCTACACCCAAGGCAAGACATCCTCATGTGTCTTTGTGCTCAGCTAAAACCAACAAAAGACACACCAAAAAACGAGTTGGACATGTCCCCCCAACATCACCAACACCTATGCATGAATTAAGGAGATGTCCCCCACCAAAGTCTTGCGTTTTTGAACCTTTGACCAAGACCTTGGACTCTCCCTCATATAAGACCATACCTCAGCCTTTGTGACTCCATTTGGCACTTCATATTTCGTCCAAACACTTAGCAAAACCAAGAACTCCCACCCTTAGCCACTCACACGCGCGAGAAGGCCCTAAGAGAGGGAGTGCCGGTTATTTTCGTGTTCTAGCCATATTCTTCTGAGGTCAAGCATGTTCATTGTGTTCCTAGGATTGTGCTAAGCTTCCAGCATCCTTGGACCTCGACCAAACTCCACCGAGTCGAGCCATAGCCTCTCAAGACCCGAAACAAGCCCTAGCCACGACCCCTCTCACATTTTCGACTTTTATCAAGGTAAGTCCGACCCAAACCACTTCCATTAGCTATTATATGATAAATGATGATTTATCATGAAGAAAAATCAAGTCATGCATGTCATTTTCACTAAGTTTCGAATTTTATGAATTAAATACCTTAAAAATGGATTTTTAGTTCAAAGCATGTTTAGAGCGAAATTGTTTGATAAATGTCACTTAAAAATCATAAGAAATGAGGTGTAAAAGTTTGAGAATTTTTGGAGTTCATTTTCTATATAAACGAGCCTCCGAAAATACTCGATTTTTTAGCTCCCAAGCCATCTTAATGTACAAACACGAGTAGCATATCATGTTAAGCTTAAAAATCATGAAATATGTCACTTAGTACTCGTACATGTTCATATATGCAAGAGTAAGTAGTTGGTTCGGACGAGTCTTACATGATTTTATGCGATTTCCACCCCCCCGAACCATCTCCCGCATACTTAGGAGTTATGACCCATGTTCAAGCCTCTATAGCCATCATTTAATATGTAAACAACTCGGCCATGGTCATTTAAGCAAGTTAAAATAGTGGGTTCGGTTGCCCCTAGGTCCACACGTGCCCTAACGGCCCTACTGGACCGAACCTAGTCACCCCCGAGCTATCCTAAGCATAAATGCAAGATATGACCCATGACCTAGCCTCTATAAGCATTATTTTACATGTAAATAACTCGGACCTAAGTGATTTTATAAGATATGCATGTTTGTTCGGTGACCTAGGGTTCGAGGGTGCCATATAGGCCCTACCGAACCAATCCCCGCAAGACCGAGCCACCCTTAGGTCTTCTCAGCATTTTTAACCATATTTCATCATATTATGTTCATACATGTGGCTTGTCCCTAGAAAAGTTAGAAAATAGTTGACAAGGGTTGGACCCGGTCACTAGCCGCGCATGTAGCGCGCGCAGTGCCGACCCACGCCCTGTTCGCAGCCCCAGCGCCTGCCAGGGCCTCTGCCTGCCCAGCGACCCTTAGCCATGCCCAGGGCCCTCAGTTAGTGTCCAGTGACCTCAGCCCGCGTCGTGCCGTGCCCAGTGTACGCCAGGCGGTCCGGCCGGTCCGCGAACCGTCCGGTTCGACCGACGGTTCGAGCCTCGATTTTTGGTTCGTTAGCTCCGACCCGAATTGTATTTCGGACTTTAAATATTTTTCCGATCCAAATCAGTCAGTTCAAGAATATCAGATAAATTTTCCGGACTTAAAATAATTTTTAGAAAAATCCCTTAACAGTATAATTTATCCGGATCTAGTATCTAAGTCAAGCATATGAAATAATTATTTTGAGCACTATACTTAGCATATTTTTATATATATGTTTATGTAGCCTAAGGAGAGTCGAGCCTCCGACCGCTACTACAGTTTCGAGCACTCGCATCAGTCCAGATATTTTCAGATACCAGGTGGGGGTCATGTACTGGATTTTACATCATATATAACATCTGTATCATGACTGAGGTATGTTCGAGATATCAAGTTTCTCCCAGGGTTTGGCGGCCGAGGGCCTTAATATTCCCCCTGGTACCTGTTAGAGGCCGAGGGTCTCACTTACGGGTTGTGCACACGAGCGGCCGAGGGCCGAGGGTCGACGGACCAAAGAAAAGAAAAGAAAAGAAAAGCAAGAAAGAAAAAGAAAGATTAAGTTTCAATTCGTTTATATTGATGTTCATGTTACGTTATTATACATGCTGTTTTATTCAGTACTGGTCTTGCGGAGCATAGTGGTTTGCTCACGCCCCCATTGTGTTTTTCAGGTGACGGAGTCGAGCGGGCCGGGTGAGCATGTTGTGGCAAGTGTGGTCATGAGACGTGGACATTTTTACTACCATTTTATGTACCACTATTCATGAACCAGTATATGTATTATGTTGTATGATCGCATTTCATACTTTACCCTTCCGCCAGTTATTTGTGCGAACCAGACGGACTGTATGTATTTTCCATTATCGCCTGAGTGGCTAGATTTGGTTACTAGTTTACATACGTCCGAGATAGTAAGTTCAGAAAGTTTTTAGTAGCATCCCGCAAGTTAAGAAGTATTTTCAAAAACAAACTCGCACACGATTTCGAAAATAAACGCGAAAAATTAACTCTGATTTTTAAAAGTCAAAGCTAGTCAAGGCGGGGTGTTACATCTCCGATTCCGGCGACAGGACTGGATCGAGGGAGACGGCAGTCGACGGAGGTTGGCAAGCGGGACGAGGTGATGGACTTCTCCTGCGGTGTGCAACGGATGTGTTACGCGGTCGCCATAGAAGCCGGAATCCGTCAGAGAGAGTTCGGCCGGCGGCAACGTGGGCGGAGGCAGGATGTAGGTCGGACGGCGACGTGAGGTGGAGCAGGTGGAGGTCGGGCGACCGACGCATTTCTGTGTGTGTATATGTATGACCGGATGTGTGTGTGTGTGTGTGCGTGCGTATGTGTGTCTGATAGGTGTGTGTGTGTGTGTGTGCGTTAGTGAGTGAGAGAGAAATTGGTAGGTGGGTTTGAACTTTAGTTTGAACGGTTTAATTGGAATAGGTGAG